ATGCGATATTTTAAAAAATCAAAATCAATGCAAAAATCCATGATACATAAAATATCAAAAATCTGAATAAAGCCATTTTACAGATGAAGAAACTGAGGCACAGAGAGGTCAAGTAACCTGCCCAGGGTCACAGAGCTCGTAAGCAATGGCATTTGGTCTGGATCCAGAGCCCAAGTTCTAACCACTTTGCCCTACTGCTCACATGCTGTACCCTAAGAAGCACTTTTAAATAGATGGTGGAACCATGGTGACATTTACTGTCTTCTCTTTAATATTTGCTGCATTTTCCAAATTTCCTGGAATTAGTACATTGCCTTTTTTAGTCTGAAAAAAGAAGACATTGATTAAAAAGAAAAAACCTATATGGGAAAAGGATCCGAAAAAAGAATGGATATATATATATGTATCACTGAATCACTTTGTTGTACACCTGAAACTAAAACAATATTGTAAATCAACTATACTCCAATATAAAATAAAAATTAAATTAAAAAATAAAGAATCATTAGCCACAACTCTGAAATTTAGCATTCCCGTAGGGAGAAACACAACTCAGAGCTGGGGGTGATTCCGTGACCAGTGACCTTCAGAAGGGCTTCTGCATTCATAGAGGGGCCCAGAGCCCCGGCCTGCCTGGGGTGTAGGCATTCAGGGATAGAAGCAAAGACTCCATAGGCTAGAGTTTATTCTAATGCAGATGGTGAGTATTAAAGTTGGTCTAGGAGGCTAGGCCTGTCACTACACATTGACGGGAATAACCACCTTGAGGTCAAGCTGGTTTTTCTCTCCTGTCTTAATGACTGACTTCTCAAGCAATCCAATCAGTTGTGTAACTGTTGATTTGGTCATTCAGAGGCTGAATACTCCAGATTGACCGTTTTTCCTCCTGCTCATTGAGCCTGTGTGTCTGGCATACTAACCAAAATCCATCAACTAAAGTTCAAAGAAAAATGGAACAATTCAGCTATGAGGATGTTCACTGCAGTAATAATTATACTGTTTCCTTTAAGAGAATAGCTTTAATAAATTATGGCCCATCCATAAACAGAAAAGTGATATACAGCTATTAAAAATGTCTTCCAAGAATATCTAGTGACATGGGAAAATAAATCTGGTTACCATATTCTACTAATTATAAGAAAAAACTATATATTTGTACGCCTAGAAAAAAAGCCTTGGAGGAAATGCATCAAAATGGCAACAGTGATTATCTCTTGTTGATGTTTCTATTCTTTGTATTTTCCAACTGTCTGTTAGAAACATGTTATTTTTCTAGCATCAGGAAAAGTGTTTTTGTTTTGTTTTCTTTCATTCTGTTTTTTTTTAACCAGAAAGATAATTTCTAAGACCAAAACATTACAAATTAACATTTTTAAAAGGTGATGTCTGAATCCTGATCATTTATCATGAAGGACACTTACACCTGTGCTGGCCACACACACATTTTTCCCAAACATCAACCTGCATATTCTGACACTCAGAAAACCTTCACCACTACCCCCCACTTCACCTTACCTCTTTCTTCCTACCTTTCTCCCTCCGTCCCAGGACTCTTCCTGAGCCTCCCATATAGAGACACTGGGCTCTCTCTGAAGTCTGTCTTTAGAACAATGAGAGTTCTGACTTTAACAGGATTCAAAGCTAAGCTCCCCGGCCACAAGGTCCCACACAACCTGGCCTCCACACTCACCCACACCCTTGCCTCTCTGATGTCACTCATCACTCTTTTCCTGCTCCTGGGCCTTTGCAAGAGCTAACTTCTTTGCCTGGATCCATCTCCCCCCAGGTAGCTGCAAGGGCTCACTGTCTCACCTGTATGTATTTTGGAATAGTGTATAGTATATCCATGAATTTTCCTTCAAGATACTAAAGAGTGCTATAAAATATTTGTTATAAAAAAGAGGCAGGGGGGCTTCCCTGGTGGTACAGTGGTTAAGAATCCTCCTGCCAATGCAGGGGACACGGGTTCGTGCCCCGGTCCGGGAAGATCCCACGTGCCGCGGAGCGGCTAGGCCCGTGAGCCACAACTACTGAGCCTGCGCGTCTGGAGCCTGTGCTCTGCAACGGGAGAGGCCGCGACAGTGAGGGGCCCGCGCACCGCGATGAAGAGTGGCCCCCGCTCGCCGCAACTGGAGAAAGCCCTTGCACAGAAACGAAGACCCAATACAGCCATAAATAAATAAATAAATAAATAAATAAATAAATAAATAAATAAATAAATAAAAGAGGCAGGGTTGAGGACCACTGCTGTGCTGTGATTGCTGGTTGGCAATTTCTGTCTCTCTCTCTCATACTAAATTGGAAACTCTGGGAGGGCATGAACTGAGCCAAAGCATATCTGATGAAATGAAATGAATGAATACACGAGCAGGCTGTTGATACCTAAAAGGGGCGGGGGAGGGGCAGCTGCAGTGTGAAGCTTTGACTCCCTTGGCTTGTGAGAGGTGAGCCACACTTTTGCCAGTGTGTACAGGGACCTGACTGGGAGGCAGTGAGAATGTGCATCCGGCCAGGACCTCCTGACTCCAGAGCAAGGCTGGTCTGGGTGGCTGGCAGCCCTAAGGGTAGCTAAGGGTCTGGGGAGGGGAAGGCAAGGAGCTATCTGCTCCCTGCACCCGCAACACCCCACTGCCTCTCTCCAGAAGCCCAGCCACTCACGCCTGCTAAAGGCTACTGGCCTGACAAAGACCACAAAGCCCGCAGCTGTTCCATGTACCATGAAGACTCGGGACTTCCCTGGGTGAGGGAAAGACTCCCTGAACCAAGGCTTGGGCTAGAATCCTGCAATCTTAGGCAGGTCACTTCAACCTCTCTGCATCTGTGCACTGGGTTACTCACACCTACCCAGTCCTGAGCCCCATGGTGATAATCAAATAGACTGTTAACATGAGAGTCTTGGTCAACTGTGAGGACTATGCAAATATTGCTCAGTATTACATGGAAAAATCATTGTTTTACTTGAGCATAATGAACTCTTGGGTCATTGAGCATAATGAACTCTTGGGTCATTCAGAGCCCCTTCAGGAGATTAACTCGTCGTTGTCAATATCAAGTATCACTGAATAATATTTTGGATCAAATTTGGATTGTTGGAACTTTCTTGGTATTTAAATTCCAGATGAGAAGGGCTTTTCTATAACCCATCAAAGCACGCTGGTGACCCGCTGGAGTCTACTCTAATCTTTTGCTGGTCCCTGCCCGCCCACACCATCCCCATGGATGAAGGGAGGGTTTGTCTGCTTTGGCAGAATATATCCATTTGAGCAGGAAGCCCTGCTCTGGTGAAAAACCATCTCTCAGACTCCACCCTCTTCCTTTGATCCTCCTACTGAAAGCTGGAACGACAGAAGCAAAGCCGTTCAGATGTAATTATTTTAATTCAGCCAGATGCTGGGAATTAGTCTCTTTTCCTTGCAAGTATTCTAGGGAAAGACAGAACTCAGCCAAAGATGCCCCAAAAGAAAAGGAGCTGACAATATCAAGACGAAGGGAGGGAGCCCCCCCCAACCCCCACTTGCTCTGAAACAGCTTAAATCAAAGAAACTGCTGTCATCCCTGGATGAAGGCGGGGAAGGGAGGAGTGGGGAAGGAGGAGGAGGAGGCAGAGCCTAAGGGGTATTAAACCCAGACTGTTTACGAATCCCGGAAAAGTAGACCAATAACAGCACCCAGCATTGTCTAGAGCTTTAGAATTTCCAAAGCAATTTCACTTGCATTACTTTATTTAATTATAAACTAGGGAGGAAGTCACCAACTGAGTTATAAGCATGGGGGCAAACTGAATCTAGGCTTCAGGGAATTCAGATTCAACCTTTCCCAGACACCCACTAGGAGCCCAGCCCCTGCTAGGCACAGTCCCTTCACAATCTCCTTTAATCCTCACAGCCACCCTATCAGCCCCAGCATACATGTGGGGAAACTGAGGCTCAGGAAGCTTGAACAGAAGCTCTAGTCTACGCATCAGCTGCATTCTCTCCCTTGTTGGGACTCTAACAGCGTTGAGGTCGCCAGCATATACAGGCATAGGAGTTTTCATCATCACCTGCTTCCTATTCATTCAGTCACAGATTCACAAAAGAACCCCTGTGATCACCTATTGCACACCACGCCCTCTCCTGGGGGTATACGAGGGGGAGGTTTAGTTCTGCGGTCAAGTTCCTCCAGACCCACTGAGGTAAACAGACAAGTAGATAAACCAGATTGAGCAATTGTGTTTGAGATGATTTGGTCATTGTTATACTGCCCTGTCCTAACAATTCTGTGTCTTATTCTCCAACTGGAAGGCCCTGAAAGCAGAGTTTGGGGCACTACAGCCTAGTCATTAAAGACCCTGGCTCTAGGACCAGACTGCCTGGGCTCACATCTCTTCTACTCAGTGGCTGTGTGACCTTGGGCAGGTCCCTTAACCTCTCTGTAAAATGAGGACCATATACATCAGATATTATAATACATCATTCTATGGATTACATTACATATTATAATACATCAGATAAATAAACTGATACTATATACCACTTAGCACAGTGTGTGTCTCAGAATAATCGCTCAATTAATATTGGCTAACAATTTATACCTCCATACACACCAGTAGTTCTCAAAGTATGGACCAGGAACCCCCAAGGGAGTCCACGAGGCCAAAGCTATTTTCATAATAATGCTGATAAGACATGGAGTTTTCTAGAAGTTATCCAACAGTGATATCATAACAGATTGACTGCAGAAGCTGATATGAAAATCCAGCTCTTCTGTTAAGCCAGACGTTAAAGTGATTTTTTAAAATATAAAGCAAAGCACTCTTCTCAATAAATGAATTTTATTTTGGAAAATATAGTTATTTTTCAAAAAAGATGTTACTTATGTTAACCCATAATGGGTTAAACTATTGTTATTTTTAAATGAATTAATACATAATTTAAATTTCTTTTTTTTTTTTTTTTTTGGCAGCACTGTGCTGCCGCATGTGGGATCTCAATTCCCCAACCAGGGATTGAACCTGCGCCCCTCCAGTGGAAGCGCGGAGTCTTAACCACTGGACTGCCAGGGAAGTCCCTCAATTTTAACTTCTAATATGGTAAGTACTGATAGCTAATGGATACAATAGTTATACTGCCTTCCCAGGAAGGTCAGAAAATGCTGTTTCTCCTCATCCCTCCCAGGCCCTCTAATCTGAGTTGGATCCAGCCCCATAGGAAGCTGAGTTCCCAGGTTACACCAGAATTGGTCTTGTGCTCACACTGTCGCTGTCTCCTCCTTTTCTCCTTATGACCCTCTATGTTCTCACCTGTGGCTCCTAATTAACCTAAGGGGCATGCAAGCCTGGGTAGTTTAGGGGAATAAGCCTGGGTTTCAGAATCAGGCTGACCTGGATTAGAACCCTGGCTCTACCACTTATTGTCCTTGAACAGGTCCTCTGAACCTCACTTTCCTCATCCATAAAATGGGAATAACAATGGTTACCCTACCTCTTAGGATTGTTGTCAGAAGTAGTGATAACATGTAAAATGCCCAGACATTGACAGACAGAAACTATCACCATTACTGCATTTTATCAGCATTGTTAGCCATTGGGTCCCCTGAGCCCCTTCTTGGGTGCTCAGCTACCTGCCAGCTGTCCCCATCTCCTTCTTTTCCACAGTCCCACAGAAGAAGCAAAACCAAGGGCTGCCTAGGATTGCAGACTCTGGCTTCCCAACACACACACACACACACACACACACACACCCCACATGCTCTCTCTCCCTCAGCCCCATGCAGGGGTGTCACCCTACTCCAGAGCTAAAAGTGAAAAATGACAACTAAATGCCAAGCGCCCAGGCTCCAAGAAAAGGCCCCTCTGTTGCTAGTGTCAGTGCCAAGGCAGTCTTGGCTCAAGGACAAGTGAGCGGTGGCCATGATGGGGAGTGGACCAGGGCTCCCAGCCCAGCTCTGCTGCTGACTGTGGGCGAGTTTCCTCCTGTCTCTGGGCCTCAGCTCAGCTGTAAAAAGGGAAGACACCTTCTAGCTCCGATGTTGTGGACTTCTACGACAGCCAGATCAGACTGAGGAGCCCTGTCTTCCCCCAGTCCCTCCAATGACACACAACGGTCACAGAGAGGCCAGCTTGCTCTCTGTCACTGCTTCAACCCCACCCCCACCAGGTCCTGTCCTGGAGTCCCTCTGCCACTCACCCTGCAGTTGCTGAGCTCCTCAGCGGACAGGATGATGGTGCCACATTTCTTCCCTGGGACACCACTGGGAGAGGAGAAGATGAAAGAATGGAAAGTCAGACAAAGACAGAGCCACAAGCCTGAACTCTCCCTGAATCAGCCCTCTTCATCCTCCTCCCGCCACCCCCAACCATCCAGCAGATCTGCCCCAAAGCCCCTAAGAAGACACAGTCTCCTGTGGCCTAGGGCACTGCTTCCTGGGCCAGGCCCCCAGGCCTGGAGCTGCCCCGCCCCCTGCTCCCCAAGAGCCCGCCAAGAAGGGTACTGTCTGCAGTGAAAGTCCTAGAATTGGAAAAGCATCCAGACTCACCCGGAGGCTTCCAGACCAGTGGTCCTCAAACTTTCCATCCAAAGACCACTTCTGTGGGCAAAAGACCTCGTGGGCTAGCCACCCCACCCTGCACCCAGCTGATCCCCAGAGTCCTGGAACATTCCAGCTCTGAGCCACTCTGATTCATCGTAGGTGAGAGAGCAGTAAAAGGGGGTAAAGCAGGAGGACTGGTATACTCTTGGTGGCAGCTTGCCGGGCCCTCTCCCATGGCTCCCTCCCCTTAAACTTCTTGGCTGGGGTCTCTCTGGGGGAGAGAGATCCCGGCCAACCATGTGCCTCCTCTGTGAGGGAGGCAACCGGGACATGAAGTCAACCCACCCAGAGAATCCCCTCTAGGAGGGCAATTCCCAGGGTGGAGCTCTACCCAGGGGATCTGTACTACCTCTTCCTTTGATCAGGAGGGCCCCCTCCCCCAGGCACCATCCCATCCCATTCCGATTGTTTAGGACTAACCCAGGGGGGTCCCAGTGCAGCCAGGGGCCACTGGGAGGGAGAAGAAAATGGCACGTTGTCCAGTAGCTGTGTGACTTTGGGCTCACTACTACACCTCTCTGAATCTCAGTTTCATGGCCCATAAAATGGGTGTAATTGTAGCATCCATTTTACTAACTAATATGCACACACACAGTGCCTGGCACAGAGAAGGCCCTCAAGAGCACCATTTCTCTCCCTGCCTGGTTTCCTTTACAATCGTGCAAAGCTGATAAAATCCAGCCCCACAATTGGGCCAGCCTCAGGGTCACCAGCATGTTGACTGTGGATCATATTTTGAGAACCACTGATGGAGCTCTCCCCAGTGCCAGCTCTTAAAGGGAGAGGTTCTCAAACAGGGGAGGCATGGGAGCCGGCCCTGAGGGCTGATGAAACAGCCGAAATCTCTCCAAATCAGGTGAGCAGAGCAGAGGCTGCATCTCGAGGTTCCCCTGCCATAGCCAGGTGGCGGTGCCTGACAGCTTGTCCCCCTAGACTTGGGCAGCTGAGTTGAGTAACCCAAAGCCCCTCCCTACCTCCCCCGCCCCCCAATCTGGCCCTCCTTGCTAGTAAAGATTGATTTGTTTGACCAGGGAGATAGAATCCTCACACCAGCCTCCTCTGTCCAATGGTTCTCCATCTGCTCCTCTCTTTGCCTCTTAGCCCCTCTTCTATTTCCAATCTTTCCTTCCACGCTCTCAAGCCCCAGTCTGCTCCCACCTGCTCGCTCAGCCTCTCTCTCTCTCTCTCCCTCCCTCCCTCCATCCCTCTGGTCTTTCTTGCTCTCCCTTTCTGTTTCTCTCTCTGACTCCTGCTCCCTCTCCAATTGCTGCTTCTCTACTCTTCTTATAAATTAGCATCCATATATTTCCTGGGCTGTGAGCATCCCTGGGTCCCCTGAAGGCCTCTTTCCCGCATCCCGCTAGGCTGGTGGCCAATCCAGCTGCTGGGACCCCAACTTCTAGGAGCCCTCTGCAAAGGCCAGTGGAGCTTTGCTTACTCAGCCAAAGTGCTCGTCTCCAGAGGCACCTCCAGGCTGGTCCCCCAAGCAGATGCTCCCTACCCTGGCTCCCCTACCCCTGCCAGGTGAGGACCCTTTCTCCAACCAGGAGAGGAAAGGGAAAGAGTGGGAGGGTCTTGGTTGCCATATCTGCGTGAGGCCAGCCAAAAGCAGATGTTCAGGGTGGGGGCTGGAGGAAAAAGGCCAGCCTGCCACAGCTGGTAAGCAAATGCGGAGAGTAAGGATTTAGCGGAACCTACTCTGTGAGCAGGCTGACATCCAGCAGTGGAAGCAACGGAGAAGAAGATGGGGAGGAGATGAAGAGAAGAGAGGGGAAGGGTTAGAGGAGGTGGGAGGTGGAAGAAAACTGGCCGGGAGAGAGGAAGGGAAGGAAGAGTGCCCAGCCCCTGCTGATTCCCAGAAACAGCCCCTACCTCTAAGCCCCACCCTGCTCCCTGAAGTCCTATGGGGATGCTGGAGCTCTAGCCTGGACGGGGGGAGGGCCAGCTGCGGAGTGGCCCGAAGTGCCACTTCAGGAGGGACCCAGGACCCTCTCTGTGTCCCTGACCAGGGCTAAAGGCACAGTGGTAGGAGCAGGGACTGGGCCAGGACTCTGAGGCCCCCTCTGCAGAGCTGGCTGAATGTCTGAGGACTCCAGGGCTAGAGATGTCTGGTGGCCTACCCGTTGGATACAGCTGGCATGGGTTTGCCTGTCCTGGAATTCAGGCTGAATGCTCCTATTCTGTGGAGAGAGAGAGGGCAGGTCATGAGCTGAGTATCCCCATTCTGAGAGGCCAGAGCACTTGGCATCTAGATTCTTGGAGACAGGTTTCTGTTCTGGGTCAAACATCAAACCAGGACCAAGAGCCACAGGCCAGAGGAAGGAGAGGTCTTCTTCCCAAACCTTGTTGTGAAGCCCTGGGCAGCTCCACCCCAGGGGTTCTCAAAGTGTGGTCCCCAGGCAAGCAGCATCACAGCCCCTAGAAACGTGTTAGAAATGTAAATTCTCAGGCCCTTGCCCAGACCTGGGGTTGGAGCCCAGTAGTCTGTACTAAACAAGCCCTCCAGGTGATGCTGATGCCTGCTACAGTTTGAGAACCTCTGCTCTACCTCTTTGAGCCTCAGTGTTCGGGCTGTGAAATGGGGAGATTGCTGAGATAATCACATGAGGCCATGGAGACAAAAGACTGTCTGGTTCAGAACAGATGCCCAATGAAAGGGAGCCGTTCATAGGTCTAGCCTGGGAGACAACTAGACTTAGACACATGAAAACTTCACGTGTCTTCAGTGGGGAGAGTAGATCCCCCTCCTTCACCAACACCCAGCATCTCGGCATTTTAGATCCCGCTTACCCTTTAAGGCTCCTCTCAGTAGCCATCCTCTATCCCAAGTCTTCCTTGATCCCTCTTGAAGGTGTGTCCCTCCACCAAAGGTGGGTCAGGGGACAGCACAGACCCAAATAACTCACGTGCATTTGATCCAGACAGTGGGGAGCTGAGAGGGGCCGACACAAACTCACTCCCGGGACCCCAAACTCTATAAACTTCAGAGCCCCCAAACATAAGTTTACTCCCTGTTCTCAATAAATGATAGCTATTTATCACTATCTTCTGTGAACCCAGAGGAGGAGACGTTTGTGGGGATAGTGAGGCCTTTCTGGGGACCCCGAAGTTGCCACACAGTTACTGGGGGTCAGAGACAAGGGCCTGGGAGAGAGACCACCCCCTCACCCCCACGCAATAACACATTCTGCAGTTATTGATCACGGTGAGGGGACAGCATCCAGTGTGAACTTGGCAGAAGCAAGTGCGGGGCTTTTCTGCCCACCCTGCCCTATGACCTGGACACTTGTCTTAGTGTGCAGGCCTCTCTTGCCTGGGCCCTACTCCTGGGGCTTCCTGAAACAGGGACAAGAGAGGTCACCCCATCACCTGGCCAACCTGGCTGGTCCCTGAAGCCACCATCAGGCTCCACCGTGACAAGCCTTGGGACTCCACATCCCAGAGCCTGCTCAGTGTAATAGTCTTCCCCTAAAAGCACTTAAAACCCTATGATGCAAGGGCAGGGTAGGATAGGGAGGGCCTCACCATGCCCAGCTCTGGCCTCAACAAGGTATGAACAATCTGAGGAATACTCTTTGTGAGTAGATCCCTGGGTTCAAATCCCAGCTCTTCTACTTCCTAGCTGTGTGGCCTTGGGCAAATCAATTTCCCTCTCTGGGCTTCAGTTTCTTCCCCTGTACAATGATGGGGTGGGGTGTGAGAGTGGGGTAGATAGTATCTCGGGCCATGCTAAGGAACATGGGGTTCTAATAACTGAGCCAGGGTCCCTCCAAGATAACTGGGTTAAAAGCCCTGCAAGGGCAAGGCCCATGAGGTCTCCTTATTTCCGATTGTCTGTTATGACTGGCTGACTGCTTTGCCCCTCCCCTGAGCCAGCCCTCAGCAGGGATGAACAGGAAGTTGGCCCATCACTGAGGAAGCAAACCAGACAGGTCCCACTCCTCTGAACACTTACGTGAGGGACTTCTCCAGGCGGCTCCCAGGGGACCCCACAATCTCTCCAAGGGTGCAGAAGGCCTGGCCCAGAAAATCCTGCACATCCAGGGTACAGAAAAGACCACTGTCACCCACTCTGTTCACAGCCATCCCACCTCCTCCATCACCTCACCCCTGGAAGTATGAGGGCTCTGAAATGACAGGATGCAGCATCAGACACATTCTGTGTCACAATGAAGCCCAAGGCCAACTCAGAGTTTGGCATTTAAGAGACTTTCAGAATTGCTGGGCAGGCACTGGCAGAACTCACGTGTTTGGATAAATCAGGACTCTTGGAGTCAACATCATATCTGCAGGGAACACAGAGAGATGGTGAAGGCAGCTGGGGCATCCTGCCCCAAATTGCCTGACTTCTTTAGCTGAGCCAGGACCCCTGCTCCCCCAAAACCAGGCACCAACGCAGTGGATATTTCTGGGAGTAATAGCAGGGAGATGCAAATGGGAGGCTTCTAAGGTGCTAGTCTGTCTCTTGATCTGGGTGGGAAATGGATATCAAAATGCATCATTGGGGTAGCGCTATTAAGATTTGGGCACTTCACTATGTATGTTATACCTCATTAAAAATTGAAAGAATAAAATAAACTTGCTCTGCCACCCTGGCTGGTTCACAGATACCTGAGCCACCCTGCTCTTCACTGACTGTTCTCCCATCTTCCCAGCTAAGGCTCAGCTGCCCTTGGACTTCAGTACCTTGCCTTTGACCTTCCCTGATTGTTCCCTTTTGCCCAGGCCTGCCCAACCTGCCCTCAGGCCTGAGCACTCAGGAAAGAGGGAGAAATGAATACCTGTACCTCAACCCGCCACAGGCAGCTGATCCTGCAGCTGGGCACCTCTCTTCACCTGGGGCTTGCTCACCCACAGCCTCACCTGCAGCCCTTCCCTCCTGCATTCCGCCTCTACTCACACTGGCCATCTCTGCAGCCAAACAGTCATTCTAGGTACAGACAACTCCTACTGAGGGGCAGTCGTCATTGTGCCAGTCCCCTTCCCTGAGCACTTTCTCTCTCCAAAGTGTCACCAGGTGACTTCCCTACAATGGGCTGCATTGACTGCTCTGGGCCTCAAGTCCTTCTATTGCTGCCTCCAAAGTCATTTCCTTTCACTGCATTTTTTTCCTTTGCTCTCTCAGGTGCCAACCCCTCTTTTCTTCCCCACTCAGTCCACAATTCTCTAGAGCACAATCCTTTCTAATCACCTTAGACCCTGAAAATACAACAAAACACCACTCCTCCACCTGCTCATCAGACTAAAATCCCACCATCATCCTTAACCTCAGGAGAGGGGCACTCTGCATCTTTGTGATAAACACACAGATGCTTTGAGCCCCATCAGCCAAGTTACCTCTGCAGGAGGGGAAACTGGAGGGGACCCTCTCCCAGAACAAGCTTTGACAGAGGGAGAAGTCAATGGGGAGCTGGGGGGAAAAGGGCTCCCCAGAATTAGAGCTGGGTTGCCCCCAAGATCTTTCCTCACCACCCCCCGAATCAGGTAGCTTGCTCAGCACCCTCCCACACTGAGACAAATGGGGGGGTGCCTTTGTTCCCCCTCCCACCTCCTTTCCACCTCCTGATGAAGGTGGGGCTGGATTCAGCTAATTGTCACTTTTATCCTAGGCCAACCCTGAGCTTCTCTACTATCACAGCTCCCCGCTACCTTTCCTCGTGAGGAAACTCCCGCCCCACTACAGGTCCTGTAGCCCCACCTCCCATCCATGGTTCCTTCCCCAGCTCCATCCTCAGCACGATCTTCTACTTACAGGTCAAAACGGAGGTTCTGCTTCTCCTCGAAGAAGTAATCCACGATGAATTTGCGCACAAAGTCGGGATTGAGTGTGTTGTCGATGACTTCAGTGCGTCCGAACTACAAGAGGAGATGGGGCATGGATCTCACGGCCAGGCTGGTGGAACAGGGGAGCACTGGGCTCGGAGCCCCTCAGTCCTGAACCCGGTAATGATGGAAGCCACGCCTCTCCCAGCTCCTGCCCCCACCGCCCCCCATCAAGGGGAGAGCTCCCACATCTAACAGTGGAAGCTGTCCACCTATGGCTCCAATCTCCATTGTCACTTTATTCTCCCTTTCTCTATATAGGCTCCACTCAAGTGAGATGGTTTTGATACCTGGATACCTGAGCAGGCCCTTCACTTGTTCACCTCACTGCCTTTGCCTAGGCTGTGTCCTCCACCTGGCCTCCCCTTCTCAGCCAATGGCACATCCTCCAATCCTTCAAGGTCTGCTGTTAATGCTGCCTCCTCCAGGAAATCTTCCTGATTCCTCCAACCAGAGAATTACTTCTCTCTGAGCCACCACTGAACTTGTGCCACCTCTATGACCACCTTCCTTCTCTGATTGATTCCGCATTAGGTGTGTATTGATTTGATGCCACAATTGTAAATGCAAGGCAGAGACAGGGACTGTGGGATCTTTTAAGGTCCCATCTCGTGGCATTCATGCCCTTGTGCAATCCCCTCCCCTTGAATATGGGCTGGAGCTAGTGACTCACTTCTAATGAAGACTGGACTAGAGCACAAGTCACTTCCAAGGTTATGTTATAAATGACTATGGCTTCCGTCTTAGGCGCCCTCTCTCTCTTGCTTGCTCACTTTGATGAAGCCACATGCCATGATGTGAGCTGCCCTATGGGGAGACCCATGTGGCAAAGAACCAAGGCTATCAGCCAACCCACCCCTGAGAATCTAAATCTTACCAAAAACCACTGAGTGAACTTAGAAGTGGATCCTGCCCCAGCTGAACCTTGAGAAGACTGAGGCCCTGGCCAACACCTTGACTACAGCCTTGTGAGAGACCCTGAAGTAAGGGATTCCACAGAGCTACACCCAGATCCATGACCCTGTTGTTTAAGTGGCTAAGCTGTGGGCTAATTTGTTACTCAGCAGTGCATAACTAATTCAGAGACTTAACTTTCTTGGTAACCCCTGCAACATATACACTAGAGTTTGGCACACACTGGACACTCAATAATTATATCCCATTAAACTCCCTGAATGACTTAAAGCAAGTCACTCCCCATTTCTGGGCATGAGAATTACTTAAAGGGTTTGTTAAAACATAGATTGTAGGTTCTGATTCAGTGGGTTTAGGATGAGGGCTAAGAATCTGTACTTCTTTTTTTAAAATAAATTTATTTATTTTATTTATTTATTTTTGGCTGCATTGGGTCTTCGTTGCTGCGCGCGGGTTTTCTCTAGTTGTGGCGAGCGGGGGCCACTCTTTGTTGTGGTACGCAGGCCTCTCATCACGGAGGCCTCTCTTGCTGCGGAGCACGGGGTCTTCAGTAGCTGTGGCACGCGGGCTCAGCAGCTGCGGCACACGGGCTCAGTTGCTCCGCGGAACGTGGGATCCTCCCAGACCAGGGCTCAAACCCATGTCCCCTGCACCGGCAGGCGGATTCTTAACCACTGTGCCACCAGGGAAGCCCAGAATCTGTACTTCTAAAAATGCAGGTGACACTGATGTTGCTGGTGGAGGGACCTCCCTTGGAGAACCACTGGGCTAGACTGTGGTCCACAGGGCTGGGAGCTCCCAGGAGCCTTCCCATGTCATGGAGGGGGGGCAGTGTGGGCACCGTTCCGGGCTACCAGTTCCATCAAAGCAGCTCTTTTACGTCTTCAATCCACTAGATACTTTTGGTGAGATTTTATTTTTAAAAAGGGACATGGGTCTAAAAGATAAAGTACAAAAGCACTGTACACTCCATGGTGGTAGGGCATGATATTCCCCAAACTAAACAAGATAGGCAGACAAAATGAAAATATTTTAAATAGGTTGTCAATCATTCTTAACATGTTTCCAGTTGTCTGGGACATAGCTAGGTGTCCCCTTCTCCCCTGAAGTAAGTTAGAAACCTGCACAGAGAACCTCCCACCCAGGGCAGTGTGGGGTCATCTGGGGAGTACTAGATTTGGCACCTTCCTGCCCTCAGGCCCACAGGGAATCAATCTCTCATTCCCATCAATTCCATCAGCTAAATCTCGCCCCTCTCCCTGCCTCCTCTGCCGTGGCCTTGGTCAGGACTCTTCATTTTCTCGCCTCAATCACTGCAATAGCCACCTCCTGGCAGGTACCCCAGGTCGGCCAATCGCTAATGCTTAAGGACTCAGCTCCCTGAAAGTCCAGCTCTCTAACTCCCACCCCTTCCCTTGTACTCCCATAATCCTCCTCATATCCCTATGGCTGCACTCATCACAAGACCTAATAATGATCTACTCTTTCCATCCCACTAGACTGAGCTTCTCAAGCAATGGGTTGGCGGGGATCCAAGTTTTCCTCATCTTTGCAGCTCAGGACCTGACACAGTGTTTAACATAGCTCACAGTCCCACATGATTATAGCACCAGCAGCTGCAGTAAACACTTCACACCATATTACCTTATTTAATCCTTTTATGGCAGGCTTCCCTATTTTATGGATGAGAAAATGAAAGCACCAAAAAGCCAAGTAATTTGTCCAGGGTCACATGGCTAATAATTGCTGACTTCAAGGCACAACCCAGGCATTCTGGCTCACGTTCTCTAAGCCATGTTACCCTACATATAAGGTCCTGAGGGCAAGGACAGCAGAAGCCCACTGCTCCCAGTGACTGGTATACAGTAGGTACTCATTGTTGAATGAAGAAAGGTTGAATGAGGAAATCGATGAGAGGGTTTGAGTCCCAACTTCATCACAAGCTGATTGTGTGACTTGATCGGAGACTTTCAAAGCCTCAGTTTCCTCATCAGAAGATGGAGAATAATACTCGTTCTGCTTGCTTCTTAGAGTTATCCAACTCAATCCAATTATGAATTCAACAGTTTTTAAGCACTTATAAAGTAGGCCAGGCAGTGTGGTGGGTGCTGGGTTACAAACATAAATAGAACACGAATCCTGTACTTAAGGACTTCTCTATCATAGGTGGGACAACTCAAACAAATAACTACAATACAGTGTGACAACACTGTTAACAGAACTATATACAAAGGTCTAAGGCAGGGTGCTCCACCCTAGCTGGGGAAGTGTGAAAGTTATTAAAATGTACAAAAAAGCAGATCACTGGGCATCCTGTTTCGCATACTAGTCCAGGTATCTGATTCCAGAGAGGTCTGCATCGTTCATTATCTCTGAGCTACTTTACAACTCCGTAAATTACAGAAAGCATAGAGTAATGCAGATGATTTTATCCATAGAAATGCAAATGGATTTTCCTCAGTGGAATGCAATTGATTATTTGATTATTACCCTGCGGATACAGACCAATTTTGAAGCTATTTGTAAATTCATTTCAGTATTCCTGATTTCATATATGTGTGTGTTGTTGGAATTATTTGAACCAGTTATAACATCTTTCTGGGTCCCTCGTTGATTAATAAGTTGAATAAATCTTTGCCGTGTGTTCATTTTCTATTTCTACGGGAATCGTGATTTTGTCTTTAAAAAAACGTATCCTTTAACAGATTTTTAAAAATACCCATGCTTGGAATTCCCTGGAGGTCCAGTCGTTAGGACTCTGCGCTTTCACTGCCAAGGGTGAGGGTTCAATCCCTGGTAGGGGAATTAAAATCCCACGAGCCATGAGGAGCGGCAAAAAAGACAAACAAACAAAAAAACCCATCCATGCTCAAGCCCTACCACAGGCCAATTAAATCCGAATCTCAATGGGTGGGGCCTGAACAACTGTATTTTTTAAAAGTTTCCTACATGATTCTAAGATGCAGATGGAGTTGAGAACCACAGACTCTCAGTAGGAACATGGTAGGAGGAAGGAAGAAAACTAACATTTACTGAGCCCCTTACTGAATGCTTAGTAGATCAAGTGGATCATTGAATTATTGCATTCAATTCTCACAAAAACCCTGTGACCATTTACCCATTTTACAAGTGAGAAAACTGAAAATCAGTGAGGTTAAGCGACTTGCCCAAGCTCACACCAGCTAGGCACAGCTGGGATCTAAACCTAAGAATGTCTAACTCCAAAGCTCATTATATATTTATATATATATATATATATATATATATATACATGTATATATATATATATTTTTTAATTTGAAGATCTAATTGGCTTTATTAAATGACTCACGAATCGGGCAGCATCTCCTCTAGGAAGCACAGAGATACTCCCCAAGGCTTATTATATTTTTACTTCATCTAACTGCCAAGAGTCCTCAAGCATTATGAAAGCCAAATAAAGATGAGGTTTACTTCACAAGCATTTATAGAAGCCTCCCTGTGTGCAAGGCCATGGTAAGGACATTGAGTTGAATAAGACTGGGTTCCTGCCCCACCCCACAAATTCCATAACGATCTTATAACCCTGGTTGCAAAACAGTTCCTGCATTTTCCTCTCCTGCCCTTTCTAATTCTTAATCCCGCGTGTCTTCAGATGCAAAGAAAATTTCTCCTAATAGCTTTCTAGAATGTAGACTATTCCAGGAAAACACCCAGGTTCGAGAGAATCCTCTTAAGAAAGGGACCTACCTCCTCCTCAATGCACTGCCTTCCTCTCTCAAACACAATAAAAAAATCCCTCCGGCAGGATTTTATATAAACCCCAGCCCAGAAGAGGCAAGTATTCCTTTGTGCATCCTTCCATCTCCCTCCACTCCCGGCAGAGACTCCAAGGAAAACACCCATTAGGGAAGATGACAGCGCTGCTTTTAAAATGGCACTTGAAGCGCAATAGGGGGGAATTCCCTAGAGATTGATCTCTGCTGGAGAAGAAAATGGAGTTCCCCTGGAAACAGGACACAGAGGGGGACTCCAAGGGCACCCAATATCTCCTAGAGCAGGAAAGGGGACAAGTGAGCCTGGCTGGGCGGTGATAAATTACCAGGACCAGGGGTAATTAACATATATGCACATCCTAA